TATTTCTACTTCCTTAAAATTACTTTTAAGTTACTTACTTCAAAAGCATTTTTGATGTAAATATTGTCATGCTTCACAGTAAATGGGACATTATCTGGCTGAATGTTGTAGCTGATGGTGGCTTGTCCAGGGGGCTTGGACAGAGCCAACAATTTATACTCTCCAGCCGGAACCAAACCAAATTGAAACTCTCCAGATGCGTCTGTCACAGAGTGACATATTGGAGAGTCTGGGACACCTTGCAGTAGTGCGGTGTTGCAACCTTCTACACGGAACTTCTGTCTCTCCTGAAATGTTATAATTTTTTTTTTAAATATCCTGTTTTAAACTCTTTAGATTACTTCATCTTATTAAAATTTTTGAAACTTACCACTTTAGAGTACAACAAGACATATATTCCTTCAATAGGGCTACCAAATGAAGACACCGAGCCCACCACTTCATAACCCTTAACTGCAAGTACCCCCACAGGCAGTGCAGTGTTCCCCTCCTTCACCTGCACCACTGCTTTAGCTGGCTCCAACTTCCATCTAGAAAATAATTATTCCATCAGGTTCAAGAAAAATGTCCGATGATATGTGATATGCTGTTTTGCCCAACTCTTAAAAAAAATACATTTAAAAGCAAAGTAACTGTTTTATAACTTACTTTGGATGTGATGCTTTAAGTGTGTACTTTCCGGGGATCACAGGGGTGAAGTGAAAATCTCCACCTGTAGATGAGATTGTCTCTCTGACTTGCCCATTATTGTCCACCAACTGGACCGTTATACCACTCGGCCCAGTACTCTGGCCAGCTGTTATCACGCGACCCGTTATACCAAATCCATTAAAAGCAAAGTTTATATCTTGTCCATTAGAACATTGGTCTGTTTCACCATTGACCACTAACTCTACTTCTGAAGGCTCAAAGCTCCATCCAGCTGGAGGGTGAACCTTTAAAACATATTCCCCGTGCTCGTACATAGGTAGAAAATAGTACCCATTTGTCGGAGCGCATTCTGTTTTTTCTTTGAGAATTCCTTCTTTAGTGTATCTAAAAAATATCAAGGTTAACTGAGATTGGTAAATTAACTTTGAATTATCTATTCAATTATCCATTACTTCAAACAAAATGATATAATGGCTCCATTTTAATTCATAATTCACTGTAATACGTGGAAATTATAATCTAATTTAAAAACAAGAGGTTAACTTACAGGCCTATTTCTATTTTAGAAAAATCTAAGCTAACGTGACTTTTTACAAATCCACCACAACCAAGAATTTCGTTAGAATAACATTGTGTTACTAATGAAAATAAAATAATTTGATATACAAATAACAAAAATTTCTTATGATAAGAAACAAGCGGCCCCATTTTTATAAATCATCACCAATAAATTCATAGACAATTTTGAACTAGTTGTCACTATAGTGACGTGTTGCCATGTCAGGATCCGTCAAGTCCCCAAAACTAGCCAAAGACAGTAAAATAATTAAAAAAAAATCCTATTAGAATAAGAAAAAATACTAGAGCAGGATATCACTGTGTTTAGTACTTTTGTTTTACCCTAGCCATTTGGAATAAATCTCACAACCAATTCAGCCTAAAATTAATACCAATTTTACAATCAAGACTTGCTTACCAGTCTGATAATGTATGTTAAAAATACAGTAATAAGTTCCCAAAAAATGTGAAATCAAATTTGTAACGATAGTTGTTTTATACAAATTTTTAATTAGGCTTGGCTTAAAAGGTGTAAAATCGGGATGAATAACCATTAAAATCAATAATAAAAAAATTTATTACTGAAGAAAACAATACCGCATATTCAAATATTACAAGATGGATTATCTCATGCCTGACAAAAACTGAATGACTTAAACAATATATACTGTGCATTAATTTTTTTATACAACAAACATCTTTAAGTAGCTACAGCGGTTTTAGTCTTATTTTGTATAGGTAAAAACAATTTAAATTCAGCAGGTAATTCGTCTTCTGAGTATAATCTATCAGAGAAGTAAACTCTTCGGATACGACAATTTGCATGAATTTGGACACGGAGTGTTTCAACATAATTTGTCCCATATGCCCGCCGAGTGAAGTCAGCGAGGTTAAACTGAATCTGGTTCCATCCCTCATCGAGTCTCATAGGCATTGTACAGATAAATGGCTTTACGCGAGTAGTAGACTGATAATTACTGGCACGGAATCTTCTTCTCACATTTTTATCATCTAAAACCTGAAACACATATTTAATAAATTAATCTTAGAATAATGATTAAAAGGTACATTAAAAGCATTAAATCAACTTACCTGAACTTCAAAAGTAAAGTATTTTTTAAGATTTTTAATAATCATAACCAAGAAAGGCAGTTTGATGCCTAAAGTCTTCTTTGGATCTGCAGGGCATGTAATATAAGTTGTGCTGACATTGGTCCCAACTATTTCTAGGACAAGACTTTGAATGTCGTTGTCTGTTATTCGTTTTATGTGACCATTTCGTACTTTTTTATCCCATATTTGTAGAGGTTTGCTTCCTATGCTGTAAAGAATTGAAAGAAAACCCGACTGGAAAGTGTTCTTGAACATGGCTTCAAGTAATTCAGTAACTACTAACTATGTACTGCACTGCACTAACAGTAAATAAATGTTAAACTACAACTGTTTAATCAATACGGAAAATTCTTCCCGGTTACATTGCTGCTTGACAGAATGTCAGTAAACACAAGAATTTTGAACTCGGCCATTGGCCATGCGTTTGTTATCAACATGGAGTTACCATAGTAACGACATTAAAAGAAACGGTTATCTGTTTTACGCAATTTTGTTCGCAGTAAAAGAATTGTTATCGTTTATTCATGTAAAAAATAAGAAAATCCAACATTGATAAATTTTATAAAGCTTTTGATAGATTATGGTTGAGTAATTTTCCACGGGAGCGCCCAAAATGACAAGAATTTAGATGAATTTCACTTTTTCAATTTGCAGTTTCCACCTTAGTTTAAAGAGGAAAACAACTTTTGTACAAGAAATACTATTTCAAAAAGATTAAAGGCTTATTTTTAGCAAATACTTAGAATAAATACGAGTTTTGGAAGTCAAAAATAGAAATTTTGGGGAAGTCGGAACGTAATGCGTAATTTTGACAGCATAATTAACGTCTGTGGTTTATCGGATTGACAGCACACGCGAATCAAAATCATGCGATGCATTGAATTGTTCACAACTCATACTTTAATTAATTTTATTTTTATGTGAAGTTGCAATCTTTTAAGTGATAATGGACTGATGTTACAATTTTTCAACATTAGAAAATAATGGACTTTGGTGCACGTGTTTAATATATGTTCTTGAAAAACAGCTAAAATGACGGAAATATCATCAAAGAGGTAAGAATAACTCGTTGCCTACTTTTCAAGTTTCATATCTTTCTATCCCATGCAGATATTTACCTGACGTCGAAAATCCCGGAATTGGACGTGGTGCTTTATTTTGTTAACTTTTTAATTTTTATGCGGTCATTAAAATTTTCAGAAATCAAATAAACTTGAAATATTGAGTTAAAAATTACCAATAATAAAATTATAAAAACTTTAAAAATTGCAAAACGTATAAATAAAAAGCTTAAAAAGTATATTGTCAGAATGATATTTAAAAATAGAATACAAAGACAATATTAAAAAATTATGTGCATAGGCTAAAAATATTTTGACGAAAAACATCGCATCTATGACAGTACTTGACAATATTAATAAAGTAAATTCAAAAAGTATAAACATTAAATTAAAATGTGATTGATTTCAAGCTCATATTTTTGTCTATTCTCACCTAACACTGCATGGTGTTTTATGAGAATTACTATTATTATTGCTAATTGTAATTTAGTACTATTGACTGATTCTTCTGACAATTTTACCATTCTCACCTAATAACCATATGTAGAGCCTGACTATAGAAGATATGAGACAGGTGTGCCAGATTCACACCAAAAGGTAGTCTATTGTGTCTGCCTACCCATCTGGGTAGTGAGTTGTTATGGCTGTAGTTATTTATTACCCTAGTTTCATACTCAAGAAGGTAAATGGATGCACAAAAACTTAGCTATTGAGTAGTTTTTGTCCCTAACCACAATCTTAGATTATCTCCTCTATGGAAAATAATACAAAGAAAAATTATGTGTATATAGTTCCATAGAAAAAATATGAATGGTGTGTTAGGCAATATCATATTTATTGATTCAATGTCACATTTATTGTATTTATGCTATACTAGCTCTAGCCCGCAACTCTGTTCTTGTGAAATAAACACAAAAGTATGCTTATGTGTTCTTCCAGACCATCCCCTACATCAATGCCAAATTTCTTTGAGAGAGAGAAACATACATCCATAAAAGGGACAAATAGTATCTTATGTCCGTCACCTGGTTCAAAGGTACCTCCCCACCAATTTTCAGCCATCTCAGAGCTGTCCTTGAGTTATAAATAGTGTAACTAACACGACTTTCTTTTATATATGTATATGTTTTATATTTAACTGTTACAAACACATAGTAATGCTTAGCTTATACTGGTTTCTTTCATTCCCGTTCAATGGATGACACAAAAGGCTGTGAGGGCATTCAACCTGTGACTGCAAGAATTATTTCTTCACACAATACAACATACCATCGGATTCGCTGTGTTGTACAATAATGCGAAAATTTCTTTTCATTGTAACGGGTCACAAAATGGCCGCGACTCCCGCGCGCGGGAAACATTCCTGACAGCGCCATTGTTTCCAAGTGTTGGCGGAAATTTTAATCTAGATCGTAGCAGAGCTCTTTCTTTCAGTACGGCGAGAACTATTATGTATAATGCGAAACGTTTACAAGTAAAGTTAAATGTCTGTCGGTATATTCGGAGGAGGAAACAAGTTTAGTCTTTATTCAAATTCACAGTCTACGTATTGATCCAATAAAGTAAACATTTGAAGATTTATAACGTTTTCAGGCCCATTAAAGAACCTAACCTTGAGAACCTTATTGCGTACAAAACTCGTCTACTTTCTTTTAGTTTTTTATTTAAAAACTTTAAAATAATAAACACAAGTAGTTCCTACTCTACGTAAGTAATGCTGGGTGGGGTCGGAGTCCTTGAGCCTTCATTAAAAGGTACAACAAATGTTTTAGTTTCGCCCCAGGAAGGCAAGGCGGTGTTATCGATTACGTGCGGGTTGGGGCACTTTTATGGGCAAGCGTATTGTCGCAGCCGGCACCTGCAAGGCGAGGGGCCGAGCGCCGACCGCCGTGACTCAACACGCAGCGCCGCGACGACCAACGACCCATTCAACGGTATTCCGATCGGGGTCACGTTAATGAAGTTGCGCTGAATTGCATTACTTGCATCGTTCACGTTTATAACATGCAGATTTAATGTTACATAATTTCAGCCATGTAGGTTTAGCCTAGTACTATTTCTGATAAGTAAAACATATGCAAACATTGCAGTATGGTTGCTATGCGCGACATAGATTAGACGGCTGTAGAATGGATTGATTGTTGCGTCAATTGTTAGAGTTGTTGTTGACGCCAGTTCTTTGGCCAAATGACTAATAAAGCGTTAACGTTTCTTTGTTAATTGTCCTTTTTAAATCTTATTATGTCAAACGTAACCACTCTGTGCCAGTCAGAACACAGGAGCAAAAGTTTTACCTACTTCTTTGATTGGAAAAGTTGCTAACTTAGCGATTACTTATGAAAGTAACAAAGTCGAAACAGATTGTCTAACGACACTCTTTGTCGGTTTTAAAATTATTAGTTTCAAACTATCTTATGATTAACTTATGGGCTAATTTTCGTGTATTTAAAAAACTAGTGTTAATTTATTTTTATTAATTCTCAACTATCTAAAGGTCAGTACTATACTCATAGGATACAAATAAGTTGGAAGATTTCCTGTCTGCTTGTTACTAATATTAAACCGGTCCACATCATGAAAAGTATTGATTAACAACTAGTCTTATAGGTTCTTTAACATTTAAATAAAACTCGTCATTTCGAGACGTTTACTGCTTACATACAAAGAAGATACGGTACCTCAGGCATAAATAGTAATCCAACTGCATCTATGACATAAGACAGCTAAATATCTCAGCTAACCCAGTTATAAGTTCCAGTTTACCAATTGGTTACATACTCCTTTAGAGTCTTCCTTTAGAGATGTCGCGAACGAGTTCATTCTCCATGATTGGCCTCAATACTTTTGAATAGGGAAATGTGTAAAGAACAATAAATTTGGTTAACTAACACAAAGATGTTATGTCACAAAATATAAGTTGATTAAATAATAAAAATTATTTTATTTTATTTTTTATTTTTATAAGTTATAGGAGATGGGGGATCCTTCTAGGGGAATTTTATGCTATTTAAAAAAATCACAAATATTTGTTTGTCATTTTAGAAGATAGTGGTGCTGAACTTATCCAGTAATACTAAATACAGGATTTGAAGCTATATCCTGGACTAGATGTGGCAAGTAGAGTAACCACTGAGGCCCGCCACTATATTTATGCGGGATTATTGACTGCGCGGTCCAGATACACAAAGTTGTTTATAGCCTCGCCGTGTATTCCATTTCGCGAGTGCTAAATGCTAACGCGTGGGTTTGCTCGGGGCTGGCGGGGTGCAGTGGGGGCCGGTCGCAGTATTTGCTCACTTTCTGGGTCGTCGATCTTTGCTGACCCGTCGCTCGACTGCTGTGTAAGCCCTTTCCGATGGCCGCTTAACCGATCACG